CTGGTGCTGAGATGTTTGTCGCGCTGGATACCGCGCGTCTCTGTCAGTTTGTATCTCTGGGTGATGGTTTGGCCTGGAGAGCAGTGTAAGTGGTGCAAGCATAGATTTAGGTTTTTGGTTGTTCATGTCTTGGTGATGCTCATCAGAGACAATCTTCCTCAGCCTACTCAAGCTCAACTGATGAGGGCCCCCAAACACTGTGTACATGTGTATTGAGCGGGGGGGGGGGGGGGGGGGGGTGCTTTTTGAAGGCTTGCGGAGTGGAAGGCCAAGGGTTCGAAGGGCTTCTCGTGGTATCCAGACACAGTCGTGAGTCAGTCAAGTGTCAAGTCAGTCGGCAGGAAGCGCGAGCTCCGACGTTTGGAGCAGACACTTTACCGCCGATGTCGCAACATCTTAGCTCGTGAAAAAATAATAATTATTGATTTTTCAGTAAACTGTCGGATCCCATATGCATGCCCAACGTTGCAACAAGTGCGCTGGATTGTTTGCTGTCCTCGGCCTCCTAAGTATGGACTTTCCAGTGGCCGCCAGTCGAGTTCAGGTGAGCGATTACGAGAGGAAAACTTGAACCGTTAGTGATCATTATTGTCTTGACTGGCTGAGCGTCCCAGTTATCTCAAGCCCGTTTGCACAAAGTATTATTATGACTGTGCACGTCTTGGTACTGTCGTGAACATGGAAATCCAGTCGATGTGAACATGGAAATCCAGTCGATTGGCCGGGGCCGGCGCCCTCAGCGCGTACAGAACAGCGCTTGATCCGATGCGACCAGCACGCTGCAGCACGTGCGTACTGCTTTACCCGCGGCTGCATGACCCGCCCCCTGGGCCCGCTAGACGTGCGACCGGATTTCCATGTCCACGACAGTACTTTCACTCAGGCGTAACTCAGACCCAAAGCACAAAGAGAGGTCAGGCTGGCAGAGCCCCCAAGTCCAGTGTCTGTATAGTAATCGTAGAAACACAGAAACCACAAGGGTAGTCAAGGCTTGTTTGCTGCTACTTAAAAGTTTCATGCTTTCGCAATCATCAGACAACCCGAGGATGGGGTGCCGACCATGCCGGTATATAAAGCCTAGTTCACATTCGATGGTGCGCGACGGGACGCGACATAAGGATCGACAGGACTGTCTACGGCGTCCAATGTGAACACCAGGAACGGAAACACAACCGTACTACCGCACAGATCGGGAAGCAACGGGAAGAGTTGGATCGATTCAACTTTTCATACCGTCGATGGGCGTAGACGGGGACGCAAGTGTACAAAAAGTCTGCAGTTCGAGTGTGAACAGGAGACGGCGTCGTGCGCCGACTGCTCCCGATTCGTGCTTGGAAATATTTAGCATGTTGAACACTGCGCTTCCCATGATAACTCACAGAATGGCTAGCACGACTTGAGTTGAATTTTAGCAAGATAAGATCTCATGTCACTTATAGTATTTAGGGATAGTTCAGGAGCGTGACAGACAAACTATTGTATCATTTCCTGGGCCTATTATATGAATGCCACAACTTCGAGGGCTAACGTTTTGGTCTTCATGAAAAACTGGTATAGTGAAGTTGATTCCGCTTCTTTCAAGGAGAGATAATTGAAAAGAAGTCCGGCCCGAAAAACTAGAAAATTAGGTCCTAAAGTCACACCGTCACGGACCGTGCCATTAACACTCGTACCGCTCGATGTTCAACATCACAACGACTGCTGCATGTTGTGCCGTACAAATCGTACAAGATTTTACAGCTCACCGCAGCTCACCACAACCGTCCCAGGACCTTACGTCCTGTGCCGTCAGCGTTGCGTCGAATGTGAACTAGGCCTAAGCCGGGAGACGGTGGGTCTTGTAGCGCTGAACGAAATGCTGTGTGAGAATGTGAGGGCTGTATAGGTTTCAGGGCTAGCGGTGTTATTTTAGGCAGAAGGCTGTGTGCAGAGTGTGTGGTTGTCGTAGGCAGGGGGCTGTAGGAGCGCTCCGGGTAGTCATAAAAAGCCAAAGGAAAATTAGGAAACTACAAAGGCCAAACGGCTCAAGCAGACAAGTCCACTTGAGTGGTGGTGGCACTTCTATAAACAACGTTGATTCAAGAAAGCTAAAGACAACTCAAGAGAATCTCCTCGATATATCTAGCCAAGTCAGCAAGCTCATCAGCTGAAGTCTAGGCGAGCGGCTTGGAAGAGAAGGATCGAGCAGGCAGCAGCAAGTAGAGAGCCAGAAGTTTTCTGTGCTAAAGTCAGCAAAGAGTAAAGTAATGAAGTGTGGAAGGTAGCGCTATTGCCAGTAATGGTGAATGGATGCAACAAAGCGGAACAGCAGACCTGCACCAGCAGCAATACTAGTAGCTGACAGCTCTGTGGTAGTGAATAGTCTAGGTGTTACAATTAAAAGGGCGACAGCAGAGGTTGGCATATCGTACTTCGGTGATCAAAAGGAAGAGCAGTACACTAAAAGCAGTACACTGGTTGCTAATGAAAATTGATGGAAAACTGTGATAGAGGCAAGCAAGTGACTGGTTGGTACTGCACTGCATGTGATAGAGAATGTGTACTTGAAGTACAGTACTAGAGTGGCATTAGGGACCAGTAGTACTATGATCTATACAGGGTCACCACATTATTATCATTATTATTCTGATTATTCGTCGCGGTTATCGATGGCACTTCGGTCTCGCGCCTTCTGGGTTCGGCCTGGCCCCATAGCTCAGTTGGTTAGAGCATTGCTCATGACAAGCAAGGTCCCGGGTTCGAGTCCTCACTCAACAATCAGCGCATGCGATAATAGTGCACTACACTGACGGACGGCACTGATGTTCTACAAATAACTGGCTATCAGCGCTAGCACATCTTGTATGCGCACTCCAACAGCCTTCCAACTTGGAAGGTTCTAAGGTATATTATTTTTAACAACATAGGAGGAGAAGGTGAGCGCAACCAAGACAAGCACGAGCTGAAAGTCTCAACTTTGAAGATCCAAGATGTGCTAGAGTTGTTAGCCGGTTTGTGTAGAACCTCAGCACCGTTGGTCAATGTCGTGCAATGTTATCGCATGAGCTGATTGTTCGGTAACTGGTGGTGTTAGCGGACTTTAGAGCGTAACTTGTAGTTCCTTGGCCCTTTTCCTTTTTATAAATTAATCGGCTTGGCTCTCCATCCGAGACCACTGAGCTATGGTGTAGCTGTCATCCCAGCAGAGACCGTTCAACATTTCCTTCGGACTTCGAAACTCGCGCTTCCTGTGAATCCATACAGGCGGGTGGGACGCAGCCCTCACTGTAACCCACACACTTCACGTGCAAACTAGCACGCGGCGAGCCCAAAACCATAAAAGATGCATATGTTTGAGGGAAAGATGCAAACGGGAAAATTCTGAAGAAAAAAATTGACTGCCACCACTAGGACTCGAGCCAGGGACCCTCGTTTGCAGCCAGCGATGCTCTAACCACTGAGCTATGGTGTAGCTGTCATACTGAGCATCATAGCTGTCATAGCATAGCATCCACTATTCCATTATTTTTGTTATTATTTCTCAAAAGTGCGAAGACTCCAATGTAGCCACCCACTATACCCTTACATTGTCACGACACTCTCCAAACGGTCTCTGGGATACACCAATCGCTAAAAGAAAGAAATGAATTCCTGAAGATGAGCCTTACCAGAAAATTCGAATGAGGCCACCTAGAATTAATTCGTTGTTTCGGGTCACTTCACTCATCGGTACCAGGATCGGTCGGTCGGGTTTATTTTATATTTTATTTTATTTTGGTTACTGGCATGTACGTGCATACTGCCATGTGCATATCGAATAGCTTTTGTCTGTCAACATGGTCAAGCCAGTCGATCAAATCTGACTGTAAACGATCCAGCGAAGCCATTGCCCCATCAGATGATTCAGATCTAGGTCCCGTCCAGGAACAGATCTTGGCCTTGCTGGCAAACAAGTCTGACGAGCAGCTCTCACCAAAACATCTGTCTATGAGCGAGGCGGTGTCGGAGCTGATGTTGTTTCAGGACCGATTGCGGATCAGAGAAAACAACGTCGTCACCGAGCGCTGCATCCTGTCGTTTGGCTGCTTCAGAGGTCGATGTCTGAACTAGGGTCATGTGTGTACATAGTCTAGTCACGTACATTTGCATGCACAATAAAAAAAAACATTTTGCGGTCGGGTCAAAAAAGACGGTCGGTCGGGTGACCCGACACAACGAATTAATTCTGGTTGGCCTGATAATCTTTTTTCTTTTAGTGATTGGTGTAGCCCAGAGATCGTTTGGAGAGTGTCGTGAAGATGTATTGCTATTGTTATTATATATTATGTATATACTGCTGCATTGCGCTTCGCTCGCTACCTCTCGTAGTCTGAGCACTCTGGCGCTAGAGCAACGAGTCTGTGTCTGTGGTGCCATCTTTACACCATGGCTGCCAACTAGGGTTACTAGGAGCTCGTAGCTGTACAGATGAGGCGTTTATGGCCGAAACAGCTTGCTGTCTACAGCATTGGGTATTATTATTGTTATTATTATTATTTTTTTGAAAGGATTGGGAGAACGTCAAATTCAAAGTATGCAGTTCACTTCCCTGACTGATACTTTGAATTATTATTATTATTATTATTATGAAAAACTTCCGTGGAGATAAGAATGTTATTAACGCAATGAATAGAGCGAGCTGCGCACTCAGTACAAACACCATAAGCAAATCTTGTTGTCATGGATAATTAGAAGAAGAAATCACATGGGAACGAGTTATGAAGCAACTATCCACGACTGTAACAAGATAATAAGCAGTCAAGACGTGCGATAACAATGTGATTATCCGAGTTCATGGATAATTATTTCTTTTTAACATTTGCGGGACCATCTCATCAGAAGGATTACTGGCAAATCTAAATCAATCCAATATCTCAGTATAAATACGCACAGTGCAAGTAGAAACTTAGCCTTATTTGGCGCAAGCAATGAGAGCTGAATTTGTTTGTCACCTGATATTGTTGATTGGTGTTGTCTTTCAGCCCTAGTTGTTCAAGTTTGGCAACAGCGGATCCAGTGACGTCTCCAAGCAGTGTGTAGACGGTAGCTCTTTTCCAGCATCACGCAGGACAGGATCAACAACATTGTGCCCGCCTCAGCCGCAACACGCCCCAGCAGAAGCTGCAATAGCTCCAGGGACCGACCGCTGCGTGGATATCCAAGTGCATTGGATGCTAGGTGCGACCGTACCGAAGCGCTTGCAAGTGTCAGTGGATCGTTTTCTGGCCCTCCGCCCCTCAATCGCTCCGTCAGTATGTCTGCAGGTTCCTCAGCAGTTCCACCATCTGCTGCCGCAGCAACGAATGGGGATACTGCACCCGCAGTGGCACTGCTAGAATGTGAGGTCGGTGAGAAGGCCAATGCTTGCACTGAAGAATACTTGAGTAGTTTCTACGATGGCGTAAGTACACCTTTCGTTCATATGGTCGTTTCTAAACATGTACACTCTGCTGTTGTGGATCAATACGTGTGGTGTTGCTCTATTAAAGGGGAAGTTAACCCTTTACCGGTCTACCATAAGCAAACCGATACTATAGTATCGGTACGTTTGGCCCTCGCTTTTTAGGGTCTTGTTGCTAGGAGACAGCTAGAATGGGGCTCTGCGCATAGCTGAGATCTGAGGCTTTCTGACAGTGTACGAAACAACCATACTTACCATACACATTTTTGCCGTATCGATCGACTGAAAATTGTTGAAATTGGAAAACACGACCATCCGCCATGCGCGCATTTCGAGAATGCGAGTGCATGTCTCGGGGCCGTGTTTGACGAGCGTTCTAAGAGCAGCAGCAGCATCACCAGTCCAGGCTGGATCTCCCGGGAGGTTTCGCAGTTCAGTGTGTTGAGAGAAAGAGCTCCGTTGAGTCCTGCTAGACAGCTTTTACAGCCTGTTTGGGTGCATTTCTGTCACTCGAGTTGATTGTGTGAAAGTTGTAGCTTGCAGGCACGGTGACCAGGTGACTTGTGCATGCAGGAACACATGACCGCTTACTTAAGCAACTATGTTCGATTGGGAATACGGGCCGAACGCTGCATCGCAGCTTTCTCGGACCAAAACGAGTGGACTCAGCGTCCGAAAGACGACAACATATCAGCCAATCACGATCATCCGTGCTTTTATGAGAATGAAATGGCGCTTTCAGTGACACACATCCCCATCCAGTAGGGCACAGTCACCTAGTTTCGGTGGAAGTGCGCGAATTCGATTGGGAATAAAGGGGGAACGGAGCGCCTCAGCTTTCTCGGACCAAGACCATTCGACTCGGCACCCCCGAAGACTACAACTGGTGAAAATTTGATTTTAGGCTTAACTTCCCCTAAGGTGGCAGACATATGGACGACATATGCAAACCACGGGTCACACTTCCATTACGCATATCTTCAGAACAAGTGCTCCAATCATGGAGAAATTTTGCACACAGACACTATAAGGGATATCATCCCTGGAAATATTATCTTCTGGGGTGAACCAGGCACACATATGACGCAGCTGAACAAAGAAAATGAAAATGCGGTGCTTGTACGAACACAATTCCGTTCCTCTAATGGTAGGCCATGAGGAGATTGAAACCACACCACAGGATTTTGGACGGAGACCTATGTGTTCACGCCACAATCTGAACCTAAATTTGAGGTGACCAGCTACTCACAGCATCTAGAAGACACCGTTCAGTTACCATCCCAAACCGCACGCAAATAAACTACAATAAATGTAAGGAATTATCAAACAGCAGAATAGGAATATGAGCAAACACATAGGTTCAGATTGTAGCCAGGAGATTGTAGATGCGAAAAGACCCTACTTTTATGGGGCTAGGACAAACAAGACCAAAGTTATGCCCGGAACACTGCCGGGAGTATCCAGAAAAAGGCCAAATAAACTGTATTATTTCACAACTCAGAATGCACCAGAGCTGTACGTGACGCCTTCTTTCTCAGTCTCAGCATCAACGAGACCCTTTTTGACTGCTCTTCTGCGTTTCCTGGCCTTCTTCTCTGTATCTTGCGACTTCCTGGCAGAGTGATACATCCGTGTGGTGTCTGCTTTGTCCAAACCCACATGGACAAAGGACCCGACATCACAGTGCATGCCACGCATTACGGACTTGACCGTAGCTGTCCCATGGTTGAACAGGCCAACTGCCAAGTAGGTCGATGTCTCAACAGTCAATGGGCCCTAGAACGATGTTTTGGGGCAGAGGCTCCACAACACAGCATTGAAAGCTTCATTGACATTCTGCGTTGCACCCCGCACACATCTTGCTAGCAGCTCCCGGTCAGTGAGGCGGACATACAACGGCTTCAGCTCATTTACGACAGCTTTGGGCAGCACGTGCGACTGGTTGTAGATGATGTTGGCACCAGCTTTCTGTTGTTGGTACTTGCACCATGAGTCTTTGCCAGGAGGACACATGTCATGGGACCCTCCGTGGTGATGCAGGGAAGCCCAGATGGCTCGATATGTGCCGTCGACATCTCCAACATGGCCACGAACGGCAATGCCATAATAGTTCTGAAGCTTGTCCATCATCTTCTCAGTCAAACGGCCCTTTCCTGTCAAGGCCTTGCCATCGCTAAGCTTTGTGGAGCCAAGTTTCGTCTTCAGGTCACGCAGCCCCTTCCCAACTCTCTTCTGCACATGTCCTATGCATTCATCCTTGACAATGGCCGTGTCACTGTAAGGCTTTGCAACCGAAACACGCTTGTGGCCTTTACTGTCTCCGTCCCCGATGTACGTCACGTAACGAAGGTTGTTCTTGGCTTCAGACCTGCTCCAAAGCTTCTCAACTGCCTCGGCTTCCATGCCGGGTGCAGAAGAGGTGGTGTTCTTGGCACAAGAATCAGTGTGAGCCTGGTGCCATTCCTGGTATCGGTCCGCGGATATTTGGCCTTTCCTTCTCTTTACTTCCCAGCTCACGCACTCTGGGCAATGCTTGGACAGTACCTCCACATCAAGGATTTGCTGCATGTCGAATGATATTGCAGACTGTACGCCGTACAATGATGAGTAGCCTCTTCGCATCCATGTACCATCGGTTGAAACTGCAATATCGCCAGGCTTTTCCTCACCGGAACGGAGAGCCACAACGTCTGCTGCTGCTTTCTGCATACATTTCTCCGCCGTTTTCTTTGCGCTCTTATGCAGGGCACGGCAATGGGCGGCATATGCAGGCTTCCCCATGGGGGAGGGCATATCCAAAATAGTGGTAATGGTATTGAGAGCTTCAAGACCACGTCCAATCATGCGCATTGCCAGCACAGCCTTCCGGTTAACGTCATAAAAATTGCTGCGACCATGCTTCTGCTGTTTGGCCAAGACAGATGTTGCTGAGGAAGAACAAGAATCACAAACCAGCTCTACCACTGGTGCTAGGCCCTTCTTGTTCACTTGAGACAGCGTCAGGCTGCCCTCCTTGCAGGTCTAACAGACAGCTGTGGCCTCAAGCATGTCAACTAGCGCAGGCAAATACATAATTCTGTTTCCTGACAGATCCTGGGCTGAGTGTTCTTCTTCATCATCACTACGATCGCCATCCTTATCACTGTCCTCCAGAGTAGCCTCACCGTCATCGTCCCAGAAGGCAAACTCTCGCAGCTTGGAGTAGGATGCGCTCTGAGGAGTGCTGTCCAGTTCCTCACCTGTGTTTGTGGCACTGACATCGTCGTGCTCAGGATCCTGTGACTCGGTTGGAAGTGGATCAGAAGACTCAAACTGATTCCCCAAGAATTTTCGCTTTCGGCTGCGATACTCTGCCTTGGACTTGCGCTTACCCATGCTAAGACTTAGAAGACCAACAACAGATGCAATGGCAGAACAGGAAATTGAAGAAGAACAAAGAAAAATAATGTCGACGTGTGCTTGTCACCTAAAAACAATTTGAATTTTTTTGAATTTTTCCAGCCCACGCACGCACGTACAGCTAGCTAGCCAGCTGGCTTTGAGCTGGAGCGTGCCGCGACGAAGCGCTGAGTCTTTGTAGATTCTGCTGGGTTTACAAGAGACTATCTCCTAGATTCGTACGTCTCAGCTCGATCTGTCGCCGCAAGGGCTGCCAGAATCGTTCGGGTGAAGTCAAACTCGTGCGTATTCGTGGATTATTTCAACTGAGTTTGCGATTTTTCAGTTGAGGGCGCACTTCAAACGCCCGTACCTCTGTTATGGATTGCTCCCTGGGCCTCACACTTTAGGAGATGAGAGCTGAAAGCATTCGCTTTCTTCTGATACCACACGCCATACCACTTTCTGAAATTCGATTTTTTCGATATTTTGGCTATGTCTGCCACCCTTAATTAAAATGTTATCATGACTTCAGCAAGTGTCAATCGAATTCAAATAACTAAAATTAATGGAAGATAAAGTATAACTTCCGTTACTAACCACACAACAAGCAGACCTGTTTGGTAGCTGCCGTATATTCCGGAGTATAGTGCGTACTTTAGATGTGCTATTTCAGGCCCTAAATCGCAGGTGTGCACTATACTCCGAATACGAAAATGTAGGTACTTCGATAAGTAGTGCAATGCATCAAATTGTTGCGAAGTCTGTCACCTCTCACACTTCTCAGGTCAAATGTATGCATTTCAAGTGTCTACTGCCAGCTTCACTACTAATGCATGAGGAGTATGAGATCCCAGCGGTAGCACGTGCATTATACACTTGGGAGAGATACGTTTTCGGCCCAATGTATGACACTTTCCAGCTATGGCAAAACTACGATACTTTCCAGATGTGGTGGGCTAGTGCCTTCAACCAGTTGTTCTGCAAGGAGCCTGCTTGCTGACTTTAGTTAGGATGTCAGTTGGAACACTGTACATGGGGTGCGGCGTACTACAGCTAGCAAGCTACTCGACCAACTGCACAAGCGAAAATGGGAAATGAGACGGGGAAAGATAGAATGATAGCCTTTGTTGAGCAAGTTGAGTCACTAGTAGCGTACATAAAGAAGCCATGCTCACCACCACGCTAGTGTGTGTGTGTTATCCATGACTTGTGCAGGTTTGGTTGGTACACTCTCTTGCTGTTGAATAGAAAGTGCTCAAGTAGTGGACGGATTTTGAACAGTCATTCGACACTTGATAGGAGTAATCATCAGTGAGGTTCTGCTATTGTGCCCAAGTGTGTTCTAGGGCTGAAACATTAATTACTGGCATGCGACATTTGGCACAACAGTGACTGATGCTCAGGGTGTGTTAAAAAACAATTTGAGAAGTTGGAGAAGTTTAAAGAAGAAAAGAGGACCAATGAGCTACATGTTAAGCTATAATATCCAGTAAGACCACTGCAGTTACTTTACAATCAGCTCATGCGATAACATTGCATGACACTGACGCGTAATGTGTAGCTCTTTGGTCCTCTTTTCTTCCTATAAATTAATCCTGGCCTCTCCATCCGAGTCTAGTTGGAGAAGTGCTCTAGCTATCCTGTCTGAATTTATGCGTATTCTCCAAAGGTCGCTGAGCTTCAAACCTGGTTGAAACTTAAAATAATAATAAGTATTACTTTGGCTTTCAATAACTTTTAAGAGTTCAGTTGAGTTGCTTTCTTTTTCCATTAGCTCAACAATGATTACTGATGAATGTTGTACGAAACTTGTTCAAATCCTTATTATTCTCTTCGCTGTCAGTAATTTTGAGCCCGCACGAATACAGTATGTACATGTCGACTCGGCTTGTCCTGCTGATCGCGGCAATAATCCTTGTGTTGTTGTTTTTTTGGCTGCACTCTCACTTTCAGGAGATTCCGCATTGGGTCCCGGAACCTCCCTCCTCCAGATACCTTCCAACAATTGTCGCTAGGATGATAATATCGGAGTTGAAGCAGGACGAGCATTGCAAAGGAGTTGATCTACTCGCTGAGCTGGCCCGGATTGGCACGGCCAGTCTGGAGTACATAGTAGCTGGGTGAGTTTAAAATGATGACGTTGATTGATGAAGTGAATTTAATGATAAATTTATTAAGTTTCCGTGACGATAAGAAGGACATACTAGTGGACGCAATGAATAGAGTTAGTTGCGCACTCAGTACAAACACCATGAGCAAAACCACTTGTCATGTACATGGATATTCCTTGAACGTACTCGAGGCCAACTCATCAGATCATCTCTACTGAGCGCACAACTCACTCTATTCATTCCCGTAGCGATGAGAAACACGCTACTCCAGTAGTGTCTGGTGCTAGCCAGGGTCTACACTGCTTTTATTCTGTATCTGTTTGTGTCCGCGTTGGGGCCTTTCACGCACGTGCCGCGCCATGGTTGGTGGTATTCCGTATGTGTCCCGTACCGTAAAAGAAATAGGGCCACATATTCGAATAGTGCTTTCAGAGATATTCTGTAGAATATTAATAGTAGTCTCAGTTTGTTCTTTGCGCTACAGTCCATTCAGAGAAGGATGAGCGCTGGCTCTGGAGAGCTCCCGTGTTTGGTGATTTTTCGTGATTTTGTGGTACACTGCGCAGTGCCGCGAGATTCAAAACTTGAAAAAGGGTCCAAAACAAGTGCCTCAACTGGGGTTCGAACCGCAAGTGTACTGTTGTGCAAGTGGAGTGAACGGCCTGGATTTTCATGGTTTTTCGCCAATTCAGTGCTTTGGGGGCAAAACCTGACCAAAATGCTAGTCTCGTTATGGCTTGCTCTTCGGAGAATTTAGACTTCAAAAACACAATTGGAAGAGCATTCCATGGGAGATTGCCAAAAAATTGTGACAAAAACTCAAAATTTGACCCATTTATGGCCAAAAGCTAGGATATCATCTCTTACTGAACGAACTGTAGTAGTTTTCAATAAAGTCCTTCCACTTCCACCAAACTCCAGCAACATGACTCCAAGTTGTAGATACATGTACTGACAAAACAGTGTTTTCCTCCATACAGCGCTGTTTCGACTGCTATAGGTCTCATCAGTGAAGGTTGGGAATGGTAATGAATGGCCGGAATTTATTTGAAAGCACCGTTTTATACGTGAACATAGAATGAAATGAAGAATCGCGATCCCGCGCTTAGAGGTAACAGACATGCTATGTGCTATCACGCGGAGAAAAGGTTCAAAATGACACTGCTACGCGCCAGAAGTGTACTGAGGACATCCTTGATACTTGCGCAACAGATTCTAGTACTCTAGTAGTTTTAAGTCCGTGTGTTTCTTCATCGTGTTTTCGGTCAATGTCGAGATGTCTTCAAGTTCTCCTCTCGATTCTGAGGGAGCTGATCCTGTGCTGGTGACGGACAACGAATGAGTATAGCGGCTTCGAATGTCGGGTTCTAGTCAAATGTTAGTAAGAAATCGGCACGCAGATCGGTCGGTAGACCCAGATCTGTTTCACTAGAGCGTTTCCAGAAGCTGGTGTCATCAGTAGGCCAGATGTTTGCTTCCAGCGAGAGTTTCGTGTCCCGTTTCGATCAGGCGTGTGCTTCCAGTACTTCTTGTCAGCGTCCTGATCAGGATTTATCAGTTAAGTTTCATCATGATTTATCAGTTACGTTTCATCTGGCTTTTAGTATGCCGGTTGACACGAATGGCGTTGTGACCGGTCCAAAACGGGTCTAGTATGCCAGTTGCCACGAATGGCTCCATGACCGGCCCAAGAGCCTCATGTTTGGTAGAGGCGTTTATGGCTTCTGCTTCGGCATCGCCGAGCCGAGCCGCTGAACATGCAGGCATCCAGTCAGTTATGAGCTAAACCTTTCGATTGCTCAATTCTGTTCTGGGAAAACCGGGTACTGTGGAACGGGTAATTTTAGCGACGTAAAAACCCTAGCGAATTTAGCGATCAACACATTTTTGCTTAAGTTTCAAGTCGCTAATCCGTTGAGATGTATTGTATACGTCTTTACAATACAATTGTCGTGCACATGTTTTCGTATTGCAAAGACGTTACTGTAGAAGGGGTTATTTAGCGACTGTTAATTCAGGGGTTTTCCCATTGTCAACCGGTTAGCGACGTTTTATTTTAGCGATTTTCAGCGATTTTACTCACGGATCACCATTGCACAACAATACAATTGTATTGCAAAGACGTTTCTATCAGTTCGAATAATACACATGATGACCTAGGCAAATAAGCATGGCAAGGGTCTTGGGCTTTCAATCCCTCTTGCTCAATGGCGTGGATAACGTTTTCTTTTTAGTCTGATCTGGCGTCAGCATGGACTTTTATTTGTAGTTCATTTCGAGGGACAGTGTGCCTTTGATGTGGACAATTATTCTATTTCTTGCAAAGAATTCTGATGCGTTTGCACATGTGGCACTGTGCAGTATGAAGTATAGTGCACTGAAACCTGTCTAAGACGACCCACCGTTCGCGGGACATTCAAAATGTGGTCTGTTACCACTTGCCAGGTGGTCCCCTTATCCGGGGTCATTTGACTGCAAATAGCATCCCTTGGTCCTGGTTGCAGTGGCCTTTGGGACAGGTGGTCGCCTTATCCGAGTGGTCGCCTTGACAGTTTTACTGTACATGAAACCAAGAATGTTCAACTCAAATGGGCTGCTGTCATGGCAAAATTCCTGTATCACATCATTGCAGTGATGCAGTCTGAGTGTGTACAATCAGGATTCAGGCAGGTCTCGTACTTCACAGGTACAGCTCAAAAGTACTGTAAATACTACAATGCTTCCCGTCGCATGTCTGCACTAACTACATGGTGTGGTCCGGAATTTCGCCGTGATAAACACCCATGCCGAAAAAGTCAAAACCTGCACACTCTGGGTTCCCTGGAATTTTCCCAGGGCTGTTAAACTTTGATTGTTTTCATCACAGTGCTAAACTGTCAGCTGCGTTTTGTTGCCGGAATGATTGAGTCACTGTGTGTTTGTGCTCTGTGTTCTCTTACCACAGACTGGATCTGGTTCTGGAGGAGACACCAGACTTAGAGTCCGATATTCCGCGTATCTATGATCTACTGGTGATTGTCGTTGTCCCACTCATTTTCACCTGCAGTATAGAAATGTCTACACTGTCAGAGCTAGCCAGCAAGCATCTTCGAGATGGCGGGAAGGCAGCCATATTCATGGCGAAAGTCTTGAAGGATATTGCCGAGAAAAATGTATGTGCATATCACAACCGAGTTTTCCGTTCCTTTCGTAACGTTTTGTTTGTGTGTGTGTGTGTTTGTGCTGTGTGTGTGTGTTTGTGTCCCATATGGTGCAGTGGTATGTGCAGCGATTTCCAATCTATAGGTTGCGGGTTCGATTCCCGACGACTATGGTCACACACGTCTTTCTTCTCTGTCTCAGACTCCTCCTCGCTTTTCTTTCATTCTCCTGGGTGGTTACCAACAGCCAGTGCATACCGGAGTACTGTAAATATACAAAAATTCGGCGCTGCAAAATTTCGGCACTTCACGATTTTTGACATTTCGGCGGCGATCTATTTTCGGCGTGGGGTAGAGAGCATGGTATAGTGCGACAGATGCTGTGAAAAATTTCATCGGCGTTTTAATTTAGGCGTTTTGGGTCGGTGCCGAATATAGCCGAAATTAAATAGCTGCCGAAAATTTGTATATTTACAGTATGTGGTGTGATGTGTGCGTGGGAAAAAAATGAAAATGACCAAAAAGTAGGGATTCGCTGGCCAGAAAAAGCCACTTCATAGCTGTGTGGCATAGACCAGACTGAATAGTGGTGGTCAATTCTTCAGCCTTGCAAGCAGGGAATGGTGCAATCCCAGCACAAGTTGCTACGGCTCCTGCTGTAGTATCGCTATCATTGCCTCCGGCGATGGGCGTCAAATGGTCAAATGGTGGTTGTGTGTGTGTGTGTGTGTTTGTGCGTGTGTGTGTGTGTGTGTGTGTGTGTGTGTGTGTGTGTGTGTGTGTGTGTGTGCGCGTGTGTGTATGTCCCATATGGTGCAGTGATATGTGCAGCCATTTCCAATCGATAGGTTGTGGGTTCGATTCCCAACGATTATGGTCACACACGTCTTTCTTCTCTTTCTCAGACTCCTCCTGACTTTTCTTTCATTCTCCTTGGTGGTTACCAACAGCCAGTGCATGCCGGAGTATGTGGTGTGATGTGTGTGCGGGAAAAAGTGACAAAGACCAAAAAGTAGGGATTCACTGGCCAGAAAAAGCCACTTCATAGCTGTGTGGTGTAGACCAGGCTGAATAGTTGCGGTCAATTCTTCAGCCTTGCAATCTGTTGAATAGTGCAATCCCAGCACAAGCTGCTATGACTTCTGCTGTAGCGTCGCTATCATCGCCTCCTGCGATGGGCGTGCAATGGTCCAATGGTGTGTGTATGTGCGCACGTGCATGTGTGCGTTTGTGGTGTCAGAGCTGCCAAGTATATTTGTTCTTTGGTTGGGGTATCTCCCTACAAGGGGAGTAGCTAGGCGGGAGGTCGGTAGGCCTTTAAGAGTCAATGTCTGTAACGGCCAAATATCACCCGACATGGCCAAATTTCCGAATTCGCTCAAAGTTGGCGCTTTTTATCCCTAGGTGGACCTCATTCACCTTCTATGAAAGTTGGGTCCAGAACTCTCCGGTCTTTAGATATTGACCAAAATCAAAAATCGATAAAAATACGAACTGAAACACCTTCAAACAAGGTACAAGAACGTGGGCTCACTGCTGCTCACAACAACGCAACGCAGCCAAACCAACTATGTTCGCACACCGATCCAAGTTACCTAGTAATGCTTAGCCCTCCAACTTTCGATTGGCGACTTGTTGAGCCCCTTGAACGAATCGATCAATTCAGCCTGTCTAATGGCGGCCATTACGACGGCCATCTTCAGGGGCTAGTAGCAGCGGGGTTACGTCCTGAAATTGGGGGTAGACCACCACTATAGTCTGCTACAACATGTCCCCAAGCGCCAACAAGTGATAGTCTTGAATACAGTTATCCACTAAAAATCACTTTTGAGAAATATTCAAATTTCGAACTCTCCAACGGCCATGCACTAGCCGAATCCAACCTCGTGGCAGGAAAACAAACATGGATCTGGAGCGCCTTCATATCCCTTTTCGCTACGTGCAATGAGCCAAGTTTGCACAATGATGGATGTTGGTAACTAAGTACCCTTTTTTACTGTCCGTTTGTTTCAGGGAGAGTGTTTCGCCCGACACTTGTGTCAAACAGCCCGTCTCGAGTGGAGCTCACTATTGCAAGATGGACGAAATGTTGATCAGTTCCTTGCTGACCAAGGTCTGCAGTTTCTGGATAGCCTCCTGTCCATTCCAGATGTCCTGGACGAGCGTAACCAAACTTGCCCAGAGGATGTGGTACGTTTGTAACGTAATTACATTGTAATTTCAAATTTGGACTTCACGGAGAATTTCAAAGTACAGGTCGTCCCCCGTTAATACGAGTCCGGTTAGTACATAAACCCCGTTAGTACATAAGAAATCTCAAGTCCCGGACGAAACGTGGTCACTTCCATACAAATGTTGTCGGTTAGTACATAATCCGTTAGTACATAAACCCCGTTAGTACATAACATTTCTCCGTACCCGCATGTCACCTACCTCAATAGTACATAATTATTTGTTGGTCTTTTGGCCTTCCAGTGGAGGCACACCGTGTTCTAGTTTCTACTTTCTTTCATATCTGGCGTGCAAGTGTTGTCTTTCAGAGAGAAAAGAGCAGTATGTGGCATGTGGCCTCTAATTTCCAAATAGAAAGTAATTACATTGTGCGGAATCTATTTTCTCAGCCGGAAAACATGGACTTTCGAACCAATTGTTGTACATGTGGCTGCGCTTGTGTCTCCTCGTTGTACATGCGGTTGCACGTGTAGCTCTTTGTTGTACATGCTGCTGCTTTTGTGTCTCTTTGTTGTACGTGTTGCTGAGTCGTGGTACATGCTGCTGCGCTGTTTTTGACCCCTGCGTACATGCGGCTGCACCGTCTTCTGTCCCCGTTGTGTACACACTTGCTCGTCTTGTCCCCGTTGCACACCTTCACTATTATATTCTGTTGTCTCGTCTTTTCTGAGTGTCAGTCGTCAGTCGTTAGTTGTTAGTTATGAGTTCTCCCGTCGGCTCCTGAAGTGAGGTTTAGGAAAAGATATCTCTCCAACAGAGAACTAACCAATGTACCAGTCTTCTTGCATTTATGGCGTGGCGAGAGCATAGAAGGGGCAGATTGTCTCTTGCACGACGACATTGTGGAAGAGAGAGAGAGAGACGAGTGAGAGAGATCAAGTGTGAACGGGATGATAAAGGGCCTGGGTAGCCATGGCAATTATGGGTGCGCAAGTAGCTACCCAGGCCAACGGAACAAAAGGAGGCAAAAGGTGAGTACGAGAGTGCATGCAGGCCAGCTTGGATAAGGTTGTAGAAAGTACGGGAGGAGGTACCTAACACAATCATGAAACTTTTACATTTGATACAACTCCACGCTCACTGCGTTGTGTGCTGTTGTTCTCCTCCCAGGCGCGTACGCAGGGGGGGGGGGGGGGTTCCCGTTGCCCGCCCCCCCCCCCCCCATATTCCAAACGAGCAACGTTTTTGCCTTTCTGGGCATATTTTGGTCAGGCGCATGATCGATCTGGCAAGAATGCAAAACTTCAACAGATCGTACGTAACTCAGTCAAATCTCGCTCATATCCAACGATCCAAATATCCGGGTCGAATAGCAAACTCTCAGCTGTCGGTTGAAACAATTTGCAACACGCTGCGAGTAATGTCTCTTGAGATAAATCGTTCGTAAGTTTAGCCGCGATCTCGCAATTTCAAAAGCGTGCACTGCGACTCGAGTATCGAGAATTTGAGACTTTTGTCACGCTGACTTGCTCAATTTGCAGGGGCTTCACTTGTGATATTTCAAGAGTACACAGCAAAAAATCGAAACTCTGCGATCAAGAAAAACGAAATCGCTGTAGCAGGACGCGTTTGTAATTTGGGCCTTTGCCAGTTTGGGGCATTTTTTTCGCACCGTCGCTGCACTCTACCGTACATGGCTGTACTGAGTCCTGGCTATCATGGTCGACCTCATTCTCTCCCTGGTAGGTCTACCTTTCCACTTCCAGAAAGCCTAAGATAATAAAGATTGAGTGAGTAGAACTGAAGTTATGATCCAAAGAACACGAAAAATTCCTAATTTTGAAAACATTCCTAGGGCTCTTTAGAAAGGGTTAAAACGAGTCATTAGACATGGTTAGCATTTTACCGTTCACGCTATTTTCGACGGTACGGTTGTGGTTGGCATGTAGACCTAGAGGGCGAGTCTACTGTTTTTTTGTGTGTTTTCGAGACACGGTGAGCAGTTCGCCTTCTGAGTCCTGACTCCTGACGTGACGATCGACTTGTGACCTAACCCTAGTTGGAGTCTAACCATTTCGTTCTCCCGCTAAACAGAGCTTTCTATCGTCGAAACGGTACCAAACCGACGGTATTTGAGGTGTTGGGTACGAGTACCGTTGGATCTAGCGCGTGAACGGTGAAATGCCATGTCTACACGCACAAAAAACGGTACAGGCGGACCGTCGAAAATAGCGTGAACGGTAAAATGCTAACCATGTCTATTGTTTGAGATTCGGTTGGAACCCCCCCCCCCCCTAGAGGTGACCCTGCGTACGCGCCTGCCAGGCGCGTGCACCGTGTGAGGTTTTTGGTGTCCGGAAACCACCTTTTTTTAACACTTTCACGTGGATCATGGACGCACATTTTTGCGTCTTCCAGTCGACAACGTTTTTGACAAACATCTATGCTGCCCAGCTAACTTAGTCGGTAGAGCATGAGACTCTTAATCTCAGGGTCGTGGGTTCGAGCCCCACGTTGGGCGCCAATGAAAGAGTGTTCTCCCCCTGGTCGCCGCCACACAACAACGCAAACTCTTGATTGTATCTTCAATACTTATAATTATTATATCAACAAATGACGAGGGCGCAGGAGGAGAGAGACAGAAAGACTAGACTGAAAACGACGACGGGAAAAGACACCCGGGAAAAGACTCAAAGAAACAACCAAGAACAAAGCAGTAATAGTACGACGACAAATCTGGATGACCAATCAGGGACTAGTACGTACAGAACACATGACCAAGACCAAGACAACCAGACCACGGACGAATCATACATGACTCTCATTCCCAGACCGAACTAGCACTGCGCATGTACAGCATTCACTTGACAGTCACTCTCACACAGACGGCAGCAGATCCTCACACTCTGACAACGCGTGCTCTTGCATGCATCACATACCATAAACGTCACACATCACACCATACTCGCACGTACGCTTAGACCATATGACATCAGACACTGGACTCTACAAGACAAGAACAAAATACAACAACATGCGTAAATCATAGTCGTAATACAATTTCGCAACACACATGCGCTGCTTCAGAACGAAGCGCTGCCCCGCCGCGAATCAAGGACGCGGGGCCTCGGTTTTCTTCCGCATGTTTACATCGAAGCCAGGTCCATTATGTTGCGTTACGGCAACAGCACGCGAAGGTGTGAAATAGGAATCGGGCTCCAAGAAAACCACGCGGTGCACGGGCCACCCCCCCCCCCCCCCTCTCTCCTTTTCTTTCATTTTCTCTCATCACCTATTTCGTCTTGTTTGGTACTTGGTGATTGCAGCAACGAGCGGCACTCTCGCATCGCACAGATGACACCAGGAGCTCGGGCTCGAGTGGTCGCTCTTCCGGGGGACAGGTTAGCATGGGAGGCACCTCTCGCAGTGCTCCTCGTGATGTGGAGCGGGGCAACCGGTAAGTGCCCTTAGTACTGTGGCTGTGAGTGTGACCAGACATTATTTCCTGCATTGCTGGCAAGTTGACTCAGTTCACCAATATCTAGCCTGACTTGTATCAAGGGATGGATTCATTCAGGACTAGGAATACTGTATGTCAGGCATGACCTTATATTCAAAACACCGCTGCTGCTTTCCTAGTTATTTTAGATGCAAAATGACCCACCCACGACGCCATATAGGGTCCAGCGGATAATGGTCCGAAAATGTTCGTATAATGCTAACCATAATGCTCCAAAAACTGCCTTATAATTCTGATTATAATGCTTCAGCAAGGGATATAATGCTCTTGGTTTGGGACAAAAATGGAAGAAAGTCTGCACGTTGTCAAATTTCCAGGAAATTATGCATATCGTCGATCTGCATCTGAAGTTGCCACCTTATCTCTCACGAGCTCCACCACTTCTTAGCACTATAAGACATGATCACTTCTCCATTGATTGCTCTCCATTCCAACTTTTGATGCAGGGTTGTGGCAGAATAGTCGGTGTATCAAATCTTTCCCCTAATTGTCCATGTAGTGAGAGATGAAACCATTATTGCAGGTAGTCATTCATTGTTGGGATGACGTTAATCTTGGCAAATAGTATTCCTGCCTGCAGACAAGCTGTCACTGCATCCACTCTGTGAATAATGCCTTCATCTGAAACACCAGACGTGAGGCCAGCTCCTGAGATCCGATCTCAGATGGAGAGCCCTCCTATTTGCGGAAATCCTGAAAACACGCGGTCAGAAGTTATTTTCCCACTCTACATCCTTTGCTTGTGCTCTCATCTTCTCCTTGAGATGGTGTGTAGACGTATGGCTTGCCACAGTACTCTTCCTTTTTGATAGCATTTGACTGTAGGCCTGGCATTACAACCGTCCACAACTAACTGTACGTGCTTCATCTGGAAAGTAAGACAGGCGCTGCTGAGCAATCGACTTGGTACTGAGTCCATGACAAATTCTAGTTCTTTTCGAGCCTCCTGAGCTGGACTCAGCAAAGGCAGTTCTTTTGGAACGAGCTCTTTCTGTTTATAGCCGCTCCTTCATCCTGGTCCAAATTTAGCAATGCATCAGTGTCTACTTCAGTATCGCTAGAGATGCTATCGCCAGAGCCTCTGGCACAACTAGAAAACTCTTCTTCGTCTTTATTGATATGCACTTCGCGTATGTCTCCTCCTCAGCTCTCCATTATTCTAAAATAAAAGGAACTCGAAAACACCGCCATTCCGGCAACAGGCTCTCAGCTGCACCAAATAAATAACTTTGCCAATATTTCACCCATTGGGCATCATCAGGGCATTGAGGAAGGGGAGGCCAAATTACGAAATATAAAGACGAATAATGCAGGCAGATGAATGTTCTAGAACTAACACATCATGGTGACACAATTGGCAAGGCCAGCAAACTAAACAATCATCACTTGTAAGGTGACCTAAACAAAACGAAAGATGAGAAAACTCACACATACACACAGACACAATTTGGCAAGAAAACTAACACTAACACTAACACTAAAGTTTACAATCATCACCTGTAAGGTGACCTAAACAGAAGAAAGAAGACTAGTAAGACTATCACAGCACGTACAAGAACACTTTCAAGTGTGGGAATGCTAAAGGCGATCTATGTATATAACAGCGGTGTATGTGCAAAGTATGTGTATGTGTATGTGTATGTGCTGTGTCAGGTGGTAAAGTCCAGTGGTAGTTCGAGGAGATGGGTGTCGATTCCAGTGACGATCCGGTGACATCCAATCAGTCAATTAGGCGCCAGCCGTCATCGCAATTGACTGCTGGTTTGCGCTTCCTTATCTCGATAGCTTCAAGCAGTTTCCTTGATGGTAGCGAAGCGTCCCTGCCGAGAATCTTTGCCTGGTGGAAGGGCAGAAAGTTGGAAGACTTTAAAGATTCTCGATGCTGGGTACGATAGTGGAAGCCCCAGGGAGCCTTCGCCACCATCGCCCTTGCCTCTCGGTAGTGCTCAGCGAATCGGTCCCTCACCGGCCGCTCGGTCTCACCAACGTACAATTCCGCACACAACGTGCAAGACATACAATAGACAACACCTTTGACTAAACACTGACTATCCACCATACTCGCATCACATGCACGACACTCCATTGGTCGACCTCTCCCTCTCTTCACCTCCGATCGCTGCTTCTCACGGGGACACACGTACAGCACTCGACGATCGGACCAACATATCCTTCAAAGAAGGACCAGACACAAAGACAACACGAACATGCGGACTGAAGTTTCGAACACGTCGTGAGACACGAGCGGCAAGTGAGTCGTTGATGAAGGGCAGTTTGATGACTGACTTGAATTGGTTGTGTCTGCGCTTGCTGTCACGCTGCTGTTGTTGAGACGGGTGTGTATCTTGTCTCTTCCCCTTGGCTGCTCGTCGTGCTGCGTTTATCTCGGTGCGTGGATAGTCATTTCTCTCGAGCAACTCTTCAATTATGGACATGCTCCTGTCTTCCGCTTCCGGTGTTGACGAGTTACGGATAGCTCGAGAGAATTGGTTCGTTGCAACAGCTCTTTTACACGACCAGAGGAGACATGATTCATAAGACAGGTGGACACCACTGTGGGAAGGCATAACATAGAGCTCCCACTCTATGCTGTTTCCACGCACAGACAGCGCTAGATCCAGGAAGTTCACTGACTGAGTTTCGTTGACCGAGTGTTCCATTGTGAATTTGATAGTAGTGTGCTGTCCGTTGAAGTGATCTAGAAGTGCTGTTAAACCTTTCCAGCCATGTCTCCACAGTAGTATGCAGTCGTCGATATATCGCTTGTAGAGATCTGGCTTCAATTGACTGATTGGATGTCACCGGATCGTCACTGGAATCGACACCCATCTCCTCGAACTACCACTGGACTTTACCACCTGACACAGCACATACACATACACATACACATACTTTGCACATACACCGCTGTCATATACATAGATCGCCTTTAGCATTCCCACACTTGAAAGTGTTCTTGTACGTGCTGTGATAGTCTTACTAGTCTTCTTTCTTCTGTTTAGGTCACCTTACAGGTGATGATTGTAAACTTTAGTGTTAGTGTTAGTGTTAGTTTTCTTGCCAAATTGTGTCTGTGTGTATGTGTGAGTTTTCTCATCTTTCGTTTTGTTTAGGTCACCTTACAAGTGATGATTGTTTAGTTTGCTGGCCTTGCCAATTGTGTCACCATGATGTGTTAGTTCTAGAACATTCATCTGCCTGCATTATTCGTCTTTATATTTCGTAATTTGGCCTCCCCTTCCTCAATGCCCTGATGATGCCCAATGGGCGAAATATTGGCAAAGTTATTTATTTGGTGCAGCTGAGAGCCTGTTGCCGGAATGGCGGTGTTTTCGAGTGCAAGGAATGCGCTGCAATGGAGTTTGGGAATTCTGAAGTAAAAGGAACCTCGTAAATAATTTCTCCTGATTTGTGTCACTTGAACTGCCTCGGCCTCGGTTGGGCATGCTTCACAAATGGCTTGTATACATTTACCTGACCACACGGCTACAATCATAACGTTTTTATGTAGCAATAGTAGTGTAGCGTTAGTGCTAAAGGTGTTACGTATCTACACGATCACAAAGTCATGCAATGCATAGTGCTCAAATGCCCGGAATGGGAGGAGCGTAGTACGCAAGAGGTACACAAAAGGAGTAAAATAGGGTTATTTCGTTGTTACTCAAAGTTTCATGGCAAAAACCAATCATCAGACAACATCTCATGATCATAATTGTAGCCGATTGTTGCCAAAAACCTGAGATTTCCCGATATTATCCACTATGAAACTCGTTATGCCGCTCAAACCTCACATAATGCTCGTTTTGTTCCTTTCTATTGCTCCATAATGCTCTGATGCTCGGATAGTCGTATAATGCTGAATATAATGCCGGCATTATCCGCTGGACCCTAACGCCATACCATAAAAGTCAAAGTCCACACAGAATTTTCGATCTAAATCCACTTGTTCACCCTTCCTGCTGGCCTGTAAGTTTGTTTCTATAATACTGATTCCTTCATTTTTACAAAACATACTTCAAATGTCATTTCATTTCTGAAGCCCACGACTTTATTGAGACTGGCTTTATATTCGAATATACCGCCATGGCTTTAAAGGTGCGGACATACGGTATATGTTCTTCTCTCAGATACTTCTTATGTCACTCGTGTGTGTGTGTGTGTGTGTGTGTGTGTGTGTGTGTGTGTGTGTGTGTGTGTGTGTGTGTGTGTGTGTGTGTGTGTGTGTGTGTGCTGATATTCCTGCGTGGAATGTTCTTCCAGTGGCGTCCAGGATGGACTTCGGGTGCCCACACTCCATCACCTGGTTGATGGTTTCGGAACTGCAATAATACAGGTGCAAATAATTATTGTTTCCTTTTTGTGCGTATCTCTTGTCATCTCTCTTTTCTATACGTAGCACACCAGATGTACTACTATCGCTGTCTTTCTCCTGCTATCTCTCTCTCTCTGCTTGCTGTTTTTGTTTTTGTTGCCACTGCCCCTCATCATACCCATGCTTGGGTGGAGGGCGGCGTGACCCGTTAGGGTAGCTGTCAATACAGTACAGTGTGTGTGTGTGTGTGTGTGTGTGTGTGTGTGTGTGTGTGTGTGTGTGTGTGTGTGTGTGTGTGTGTGTGTGCACAAGTAACTAGTTAGTTGCTGCGTCTTACATAGCTGTTCGCTATCATCGCTTCCACGATGGGCAGGTCTGAGGTGTGTGTGTGTGTAGCATTATAGTAATAATGCAGATTAATGCTTGCACGCGTCTGCTTCGTGCTACCACTCAAACTATGCTGCTATGATTGCGAGCGCTTTTACTGCATGCTCATGCTTTGCTGCTGGCTACAGTCACGTGCACTGTACATCACGGTATCCATGTCGGTCACACGCCTTGGTGCATGCTCACTTGGTACTCTATGCGTCGTGGCATCCTATGTGTCATTCAACGTGGCATTCATTCATGCGCGACGCTCAACGTAGGCGGCATGCGTGTGGGCACTCAACGTGGCATGCTAAAGTTTGCCTACCGGTAGTTATATATTATTTTCGATCCGTTCTGTGTGTGGATCACTCTTTTCAGATCGTTGTGTTTCACCCACCCCCTCCCATTTCTCATCTCTCATTTACTTTGATAAAGTAAATAAAGGGGTGTTGGCCATGCTCATTTCCGACTACTCAGGGCTCTCGGTCTTCATCCCTCGGACGTGACTATCCTCTTGGCTCCGCCAAGATCCTGCTCTCTCCGTAGCCTCTCACTTCGCTGGCCAGCACCCTCCTAACCGCAAACTGCTGTGTGTTGTAGTTAATGTGTGTGTGGGGGGGGGGGGGGGCGCGCGCGCGCGCGTGCGTGCGTGTGTGTGTGTGTTCCCCATATGGTGCAGTGGTATGTGCAGTCGATTTCCAATCGAGAAGTTGCGGGTTCAATTCCCGACAATTATGGTTGCACACGTCTTTCTTCTCTTTCTCATTCTCCTAGCTCTTCTTTCATTCTCCTGGGTGGTTAGGCTGCAACCACACTAGGTACAAAACTGCGTAAACGCAACTTTTCTGCTTATGTCGTCAAGGAAACGCGTGCGAAACGCAAAACGTACTGCGTTTCGTTTCAGCAAACCGGGTACCCCTGTAGGAAGCAACTTTTCGCCTTTTCCTTGCGTTTCGCTCGCTTCTTCATACGGCCGGGTAGATGTTTCTTAGAATTCTTGTTGAGGCTTGCACTGTGTCGGTAGTAGACGGCTTCCTTGTCAGTTTGCAGTATTTGAGATTTCATCTGCCAGGGCTTTGCTTTCAGTATAATTCCCGGACAGTCCTGTTGCCTGCTGTTGTTAGTTCGAGATGCCGCGCAACTACAAATTAAGTAGAATGTACATTGTATTTCGCTGATAATCTCGAGCTGAGAAGCTCATGCAGCTTGCGGCAGCGTACCAGAAGACGAAGCAGGGCCAGATGACAGCCTGGAGCGGACCATCCGAGAGAAGGAGATGACCGAGGCCTTGAACCATGTGAACGTGTATGTCAAGGCGCTCGCGACTCTTTTTTACTGAGTACTACTACAGTCATGTAGTACACGTACATATACATACATTTTCACAGCGCGATTTTTCTGGGACCCAGAAATGTAGACAAAACGCAAGGATTCCTTGCGCATGAAATGGCAGTGTGGATGCGACTTTATATTATTTATTATGTGCTTGTTCGCGTAGACATCAGCATGGCCTGCAGCTGCATTAATGGGCATGCAAATCATGCAAACCAGCCAAAAATGTTCGCATAAGCCACTTCGAATAGATACAAAAGACCATAACAGTTTCAGAAAAGAAGAAATATGCGAAAAGAAGACAAAAACTAGGGTGCCGACACCACTCGGGCACAGATGCCCACCCAACCGCTTCGGTCAGCAGCAAGGGCACGGAACGCCTCCAGATCGACTTTGCTTGACAAGGAAAGTCCAATCCGCTTGGCATCATCTTGTAGTAGCGTTGGTAGTGTGTGTCTTGGTCGTCCCCTCCAGCCCGCTGGGCGAGGCTCTGCGAAGTACGCTCCCATGGCCAGTGATGGTGGGGAGTCAGCCGGGAGCCGGAGGACGTGCTCAAAGAGCCTCCACCTAGCTCTCAAGATGATAATGCCGAGAGGAACCGCGCCGGTACGCTCATAGAGCCTCTCGTTCCTAATCCGATTCGGGAACACAATGCCGATTAGCGCCCGCAGCTGTTTTCGGTGGAAGGCCTCAATACGGCTCAGCTGCTGTTTCGTTGGTGCCCATGTTGCACAATTGTAGCAGAGTACAGGGAGTACAAAGGCATTATAGAGCCGGATGCGGAGATCCTCCGAAACTAGCGACCTACGGATCCACAGCGTCCAGAGTTTACCAAAGGCAACAGTTGCCAGTTGCTGTCGCCGTAGCATATCCTCGGCATCACCTAATAGGGACCCGAGTTTCTTGGTGGTTCGCCACTCCTCCTCGATGCGATCAGTGTGCCGTTCGATGTGCGTGTGCTCTGTTTTGGTCTCATTCACTTTCAAATCCCATTCGAGGAGCTTGTTGGATATGGTTGGAAGGAGGGTCCTCAGCCTCTCACCATCAGTAGTCACGAAATCCGACTTTGCGTTATCTAAAAGCTAAACGCAAACGCGTACTTGATTTTGTACGTAGTGTGGTTGCAGCCCAACAGCCAGTGTATGCCGGAGTATGTGGTGTGGCGTGTGTGTAAAAAAATGAAAAATGAAAAATAGGGATTCACTGGCCAGAAAAAGCCACTTCAATCAGCTGTGTGGTGGATAGGCCTGGGCGGATAATGCTAGCATTATAAGTAGCATTATAGTGTGCGATTTGCAACGAGCATTATGCTAGCATTAGAACACTATATTTCCACAAAAGTGGCATTATACTCAAATGGCCTAACTAGACTAATACTTCTGCGAAAACCAGGCTTAGGGTGAAAAAATGAGAAAAATGATGTTTTGTAAAAAGGTTGTGTCGTGGGGTCGCTCGAGTGCAGTGAATAGAGTCTAGCGGGTAATGCTCCAAAAATGTTCGTATAATGCTCACCATAATGCTCAAAAACTGCCTCATAATGCTAATTATAATGCTTCAGCAAGGGATATAATGCTCTTGGTTTGGGACAAAAATGGAAGAAAGTCTGCACATTGTCAAACTTCTAGAAAATTATGCATGTCGTCGATCTGCATCTGAAGTTGCCACCTTATCTCTCACGAGCTCCACTACTTCTTGGCACTATAAGATATGATCGCTTCTCCATTGATTGCTCTCCATTCCAACTTCGATGCAGGGTTGTGGCAGAATAGTCGGTGTATCAAATCTTTCCCCTAATCATCCATGTAGTGAGAGATGAAACCATTATTGCAGGTAGTCATTCATTGTTGGGATGAAGTTAATCTTGGCAAATAGTATTCCTGCCTGCAGACAAGCTGTCACTGCATCCACTCTGTGAATAATGTCTTCATCTGAAACACCAGACGTGAGGCCAGCTCCTGAGATCCGGTCTCAGATAGAGAGCCCGCCCATTTGCGGTAATCCTGAAAACACGCGGTCAGAAGTTATTTTGCCACTCTACATCCTTTGCTTGTGCTCTCATCTTCTCCTTGAGATGGTGTGTAGACGTATGGCTTGCCACAAAACTCTTCCTTTTTGATAGCATTTGACTGTAGGCCTGGCATTACAACCGTCCACAACTAACTGTACGTGCTTCATCAGGAAAGTAAGACAGGCGCTGCTGAGCAATCGACTTGGTACTGAGTCCATGACAAATTCTAGTTCTTTTCGAGCCTCCTGAGCTGGACTCGGCAAAGGCAGTTCTTTTGGAACGAGCTCTTTCTGTTTATAGCCGCTCCATCCTGGTCCAAATTTAGCAATGCATCAGTGTCTACTTCAGTATCGCTAGAGGTGCTATCGCCAGAGCCTCTCGCACAACTAGAAAACTCTTCTTCGTCTGTTTGATATTCACTTCGCGTATGTCTCCTCCGTAGTTCTCCATCTTTACTTATAAAGAAGAGGCACATGTGACGTGTGTGTGTGTGTGTGTGTGTGTGTGTGTGTGTGTGTGTGTGTGTGTGTGTGTGTGTGTGTGTGTCACGCTCAGGCCATGCTGCGGAGCAGCGCTGCCCTGAGCACGCGAAGCGTGCGAACAGTGTAGCACAGTGTAGCTAGCGGCCGCAGAAGCACTGAGCACGCGAAGCGTGCGAATCGTGTAGCTAGCGGAAGCAGCCACAGAAGCATGCAGTGAGCACGCGAAGCGTGCGAATCGTGTAGCCACCACCACGTGCTGAGCACGCGAAGCGTGCGAACAGTGTAGGTAGCAGACACGATCAGTACGATCACGAGTAGCAGTAGCATGCACGGTGAACGTAGGCTTACGATACACAGAAGTCAACATTTCACAGCCAGTCTTCTCTACAAGCACGTCTAGAAATGACAACTTACTAGACTGCTCGTGCTCACAAGTAAAGCGGAGGGAAGGATGTAGGCTGTTGAGCACATCGAGAAACAATTCACTGCTCTCAACACTGTCAAAATGCGTGAACGAATCGTCAACAAAACGCACGTAGAACGCGGGCCAAAGCGACTCATCAATCTTGCACTCACAATAACCAACGAATATATTGGCGAGGACGGGACCAAGAGGAGATCCCATCGCCACACCATCCACTTGCTTGTACATCACATCGTTGAACGAAAATTCGACACCAGTTGTAACTGACAGCATCAAATGACGAAACGCCGCTTCCGATACCCATGGAGTATCAACATCATCGTTACGGTACAATACATCCATACAGATGTCAACAGTCTCATCAATAGGAACATTCGTAAAGAGACTTACAACATCGAAGGAACACATGTGTGCATTGAGAGGGACCGGACTATCACGAAGCCTCGCAACAAAGTCGAAGCTATCCTTCACAGTGCGTTTGCAATAGTAATCTTGAACAGGCTGTAGGTAGATGCACAGCCATTTCGAGATAGAGTATTGAGGGGAGGCGGTCATGAATACTATTGGTCTAACAGGGCATGTAGGTTTATGGATTTTAGGAAGGCCATAGAGTCTAGGACGAAGGGTACCAGTCGGTTTGATGCGATCGAATTCATGTTTTGATATTTGTTCTTCATTCTTTAGCTTCTTTTAAAAGATAAGTTACACGATCCTTTTCTACGTTTTCAGTTCGATCACAGGTCTTGTCCGGACCAAGTGTACGGAACTTTGATGTGTCATTTAGGATAACGGACATCTTCTCGATGTAGTCAGTTTTATTCATTAAAACAGTTGCACGACCCTTGTCAGGGCGCGTGACAATAATGTCTTTGTTATTCCGTAGCTCATGCAGGGCTTTGAGATGTTCGCGTTTCAATGAAAACGTTCTTCTATCCGGTAATGCATCAGCGTGTTCCTCGGCCTCTGCCCGGATCTTTGCGGCGCAAATGGACTGTTGTGACTCGGACACCGGTCTGAAGCGTAATAACTTACGGTAAAAGAGCTCAAACTCGGTCATGATGACTTCCTTCTTGTTTGATTTTGGTGGAATCCCGAAATCGGTTCCACGACAGAGGAGCTCTTTCTGAAGAGTGGTCAACTCTAGTGATGTCATATTAATTATGGTGGTATCAGGATCGATGGTGACATGTCCATAATTATCTTTTCTGTCTTAGCCAATTGCAGGTCTTGTCATGTTTTGTGATTATAGTCAACTTCGCATATCAAAATCAAGCTCTTTTCTTGCTCTATGTCAATGTGTACTTTATTTTCATATTGCAGT